TTCCTATCTTCCTCATTGAAACAGCAACCTTATTTATCTCCCCCAGTGATTCTCTAGGGCAATTAGAAGTAGTCATGTGTTTCATTTGGGTGAGAGAATTCATTGTTTAACTTTTCTTCAAAGTTTTTTCTCAGTTTCTGCCTTATTACCCATTCTCTCTTCTCAGTACGGTCTCCACAGCTTGCTGAAATGTCTTTAAGGATTGCAGAACAACAAAGAACACTTGGAAAGCTGTGTCTTCCTAATGTTTTGCTGTGAGCTCGACACCCACCTCCCTGTTGTTTTGAGCTTGGCTCACAGCTGGATGTGATCAAGGCTCCACCAAGAGGGATTGTAGGGGGTTCCCCAACATTGCCTAAAAACACAGAACAAAACCTCAACATTGCCTAAAAACATAAAACCAAAACACCATTAACCTCTGACCTTTGGAAATCAGCAAATACAGTATTACCATGCTGTGGCCAAACCTGTCCCCTCCTGGCCTGTCTCTCCCCGGCCTTCACTCCATCTTGAGTGCTTGTTAGGATTCATTTACCCTGGTGGTCCTCCCTCTCCCACCCCCTACCCCTTCCAGGATGAGCTCTCATCCTCTGATAAAACATGTCAAAAGCAGAATTTACCTCTCCATCCAATACCTGCTCAGCATCTATCCAAGAACCCCAGCAAGAACCTCCATTATCTTGAGTGAAGGCAGTGTAGAAGAAAACCACCAAGCCAGTCCAGCCTCAAGCCCCTGACCTGCACACCTGGTGCAGGTGTGGACCGTGGCTCTGGCCTGGGCTGTGCCAGAGCCTAGCAGTACTTTTCCCTCACTGTCCTGGGACCTGTCTGCACTTGTCCACCTCTGCTCAGGCCCCCTGAGCGTGGCATTCAAACTGCTTCAGGGGGTAACTCTGACCCATCCAAATCCCACAGCTCGGGTTTCCTATTCTTGCTTGGGCTTCTCTCCCTTCAAACAGGAATATTTTTATGCAGACACACAGGTTTCCTGCTCCTCAGACTTCATTTTTCAGCTGGCTGTGGGAAGAGGTTTTAAGGAGACAAATATGGAGGAAGTGGTTCTGCTCATAGCAAGTATTTTCTGTTCCGTTAGTCACAAAACAAAATGATGCTTCTCCACCAGTAAGACTGGGGTTTGCTCTGGCTCACAGCTTGTGGGAGTGGCGGACCCTAGAGGTCAGGGGTTTAATACCTTCATGGAACCAGAGGAGAAGCAGGTCCTGCCTGCTGGGTTGCCCTCCTGAAGAGGCTGAAGGCAGAGCCCAGGTCCAACCCGCAGCTAAATGACCCCAGTGCACGGCAGGTTGGTGTGACTTGAAACCACTGACTTATCTCCTTAAGCTTTGATTGACTTAAAATTTCCCAGCCCAGCCTACTTCCTGAGGATTGAGGATCAGTTTTCAAGAATAGAGGTGGAGGGCCGGCCCGGTGGCTTAGAGGTTAAGTGTGCACGCTCCGCTGCTGGCGGCCCGGGGTTCCGACCCCGGGCACGCACCGACGCACCACTTCTCTGGCCATGCTGAGGCCGCGTCCCACATACAGCAACTAGAAGGATGTGCAACTATGACATACAACTATCTACCAGGGCTTTGGGGGGAAAATAAATAAATAAAATCTTTAAAAAAAAAAAAAAAGAGGGGGAAGGGCTTTGGGGAAACCAAAGGCACAGTCAGAAGGGAGAGCTTCTGGACTCAGGAGTCTCCAAAACTTTGGATGGAGCTCCCCTATCCTGCACCTCTAATATATGGAGAGAAATTATTCTATTAGCTGATTTGTGTAAATCACATTCCAAATGGCTGTCAGGATAATTTCACATTTTAGGGGCAGACATCATCCTTTTGCCTCAAAATGCAGTAGGAGAAGGTCCACCTGTGACTGCTTCTGCTTGCGTTTTGAGTCGTGTCTCCGACGGGGGGGTTTCTTTGCCAGCCTCTTGTACACTGCTTTAAGCTGTGAGTGTGATTTTAATTAAAACTAGATTCTAACACCACGTGTGAACTGCAGTGCTCAGCACCAGGCTGAAAGCAAACTGGCAGGGACCCCAGGGCAGCTCTGCGAAGCCATCCTGTTCGCAGAGGGGACATGTTGGCTGTGAATCTGAATATTGAATATTAGAAACACCTACTTCCTTTATCATAAGATAATAAATGTAGGCAGAGGCGTTAATTTCTCTTCCTGAACCCCAAGGGGCTCACTTTGCACCCCTCTCCCCCTCCCGCCCTGGGTCCATGAATGAACTTGGTTCCTGTGGGAATCCTGAGCTTTCAAAAGTGCAGGGCCCCCTCTCCTCACCCTAATTTCTGATTTTGGGGCCCTGGGAATCAACACAAAGTCCAACTAGCAAGCCTCATATGGAGCCACTTCTGGGGACTGTTAAAGAAAAAATATTCTGTTAAATAGAAAATTATTCATGACACTTGTTAAAGGCGTTAAGGCAGACTTTATTCAAGGGCGGCCACTACAATGGGGTTTTGCAGTGGAGGAGAGAGATCAGGCTCAACACCCAGTACAACAAGAAAGAGTGGGAATTTATAGCCAGGGAGCAGGGTGGGGGTCAGTGGATGGAAAACTACTAAGGAAACATCAGGGGTGAGGGGGGATGCTGGCTAAACCGACCTCACAGATTCTTGCTGAAGGCAGTCTAGGCGATTACACGTCACCTGGGATGGTGGGGGATGAGGAAGAGGATCAGATTCGAGGGTGATCAGAATTGGAGGGTTGGGGGTCCTGACTAAAATGACTTAGCGGGATTCTTGCTAAAATTGGACAATACAGAGAGGAGCAGAGAAGCTCAAAAGTCAGGGCCGAGTTTAGAGGAGAGTAGAGTTTGGGCAAGCAGAGACTGAGGACCCGGGACAGCGGGGACCCCCGGGTCGACGTTTCTGGCATCCAGGGGCAAGTCCCGGTCCGCAGGCCGTGGGCGCGGACATCGGAGCTGCCTGCAGGGGGCGCACGCGGGCCCCCGCGCGAGCAGCCGGCCGGGAGCCGGAAGTGCGAGACCGCGCTGGCGCCCGGCGGGCGGAGCTGCGCGGGATTCGGGCCGGTGT